AATATTTTCAACAAATCATTAAACCATCTATCTGTTTATAGGCCTTCATTACATTCCTCTGCCTGTACGGAATGGTTTGGTATGCTGAAACCTATGGTCCAAATGAAAAGGTATGTCTATTGCTTTACAGTTAAGAAGTGTATTTGCACTTTCTTGACATTTTTGTAGATTTTTCTTCTTGGATGAGTGCTATGATTTGGCCCCTGGTTGCTATGCCCAGAAACATCCCGAACACAGCAATAAAGTAAGAAAAGTTACACAATAAGATCACTTGCCCCGTGTCAATATAAGCTTCAAATCCTTTCCCTTTTAAACATTGCTACCAGTCAGTTTGCTTTGAAAGCTTCACAGGGTCAGGTTTTGTTTTGGTGTGTGTGTCACATGTCTCCTCTTCTCTTTTCACAGACCCTCTCAGAAGACGACTGTTATTACAATGAATATGATGAATATGCCCCAGAAGAGTTAAAAGGTACATTGATTTTGATTTAATTCATCAACCATAAGAGAGGCTGATTAAAAGTTAAAACATAGATATTTACAGGAACTGTAATCTTGTAAAGGTCTTTGAAATTGAGTTTTACTCATAATTTAAGGTTCAGTAAAATATTTTTATGAACTCATTCCTCACTGTTTCAGAAGACACAACGCTGGACGAAGACGAAGACGAAGACGACGACAGCCCAACAACCAGACTCAGAGGGAAGGGCTCCGCAAACACCCAATCTGTAAACGGCCTGGACAGCCAGTAGGAGTCTGAGCCAGTGGCTGGTGTGCGTCTCCTGAACTCACTCCAAGGGGCCAGGTGTGAAGGATCCCAGGTGGAAAAGGGAGTAAAGATGCAACCACTTCCTGGTGTAAATAAAGTCTAGAAAGCCCGCACCTACAGTAGAGGGAGTGGAGACAGAGGAGGAGAAGTGGATATCAGGCCCATGCAGAGTTATTAGGAGTGCACAGAGGCTTGGGCTACAGAGATGAACACTTTAAACTGTGAACTGTAGTCATAAAAAAAACCTCCTGAACCACTGATCACAGGTTTCTGTGTGTACAGACAGAGAGAGGGGAAATGGTGGCGTTAAAAACTGCCGATTGTAGATGTGACTGCATGATCATTGTAGCTAATGAACAATCATTTAGAAACATGTATTCTATGACACAGTATATCAATGATGTTGACTGGTTTACTCCAGCCTTAACTCCAGTATGTTGGACCTACACATTTTAATGTTAAAAGCCATTATGCAGAATTGATTACGTTTATTGGAGCCTTTGTGTTTATAGCACACAAAGGACAACGTCTATTAAAAGCATCATCATCATCTATCGTCTATTTAAATCATAGATGTTCACACTTGTTTCGTGTTTGTAACTTGAATGTGGGCAGAATTTCAATGCAAGACCGCTTTAGCTTGTAAGGATCATTGACTGAGGATTGTGTGTGACCAGGAACAAAAGGAAACACACAGTCGAAGCACTTTCAGAATGTTTTCTTGCAAATACTGTACATTTTGTTATGCTTGAGTATTTTGTGACCTTGAGTGATTTTACTCTCCGTGTCCATCTGTGGCTGCTTTTTTTCTTTTTCTTTACTTTACTGATTACAGAGGACAATTATTCCGATTCCTGCATGTGACGTCTGGTTTGACTGTCAACCTTCTTGTTACGGCATATATGGCATCTGCATGGCTGTGTCAAATCAAATGTTTTAGTAGAATGTTACAAGAGTACTCAAGATCTTTGTATAACACCACACAACAAGGCGCCAGAATTGTTATTTTTACGTATTTCACTCTCATTGTAACATTTAAATTCACACCTTGTGCCTGTTTGCATGTTTCTTTTTTACTCCATACTTTTTTCAGTTTGTATTGAAACTAAATTCTGCTCTCGAGTGCTTTCTTGAAGGTTTATTTTCATTGCTCTGTCAGCATCATCTCAATAAACATATATCCTTCATAATCCTCGACAATCCAGAGGTGGACCTCTGTGGAATGGACCAGGCTCCTCTGCTACTGTAGACACGACTAAGGGTACATATCTCTGGATTAAGATGTAATTTGCCAAAAATAATTCCTATAAAAGAAAATGGCTGTTCTTTTTCACTGTGAAATAAAGAGACATAATAACATGTTTTACATTTCCTCTTAAACTCGTTGTGGATTATTATTGTAGTTTTTAAATGAAGCAGCAGTTTACAGCAACAATAACACCTAACAAAAGGAAATCCTGGATGACCTTGCTTGACCCCCAAAGAGTGCCCTGCTGCAGCAGAGGACTGAGGGATTGGCTGACTGAAGCACTGCCCGTCTCGGATCAGATTTCACTCCGTCTGCAAACCTTGATACAGAGACTGAAATAGCTGCCTCGTGCTGACCTATAGCAACATGTTTTTGAAGGTATGCTTCATGTTCCCTTTGAAGGGAACATAAAAGAATGTTGTTTAGGTCTTAATATGAACAGTAGTAACAACTGGAGATCTAGTAATTACTGAAATAAAAAGCCATGAGTTGCATGCAGCTGTCGCCACACAGTGAGTGTTCTGGCACACGAACACCAGGTGATGGCAATTGGAGATCCTGGTTCTGATCCAGAAAGCTGTAATACCTTATATTAATGTATTAATGTTGTGATGTCCTCTGCTTTCAGTGTTCAAAACACAATGGGGGCTCCAGCATGTGTGTCAGCTGATTTCCAAAGGAGGGCAGCAGTGAGCCTCAGTTTAATGCATCATGTCACATGACAATTTGGGCCTAGGCAAAGGACATGAGTGTGTTGACAAGAATGTTGCAGTGCTCTGCCTTCATAGCCCTCTCTTCACTAGGCTACTTATCCATATAAGTGAACGTTTTTTTTTTTTAATCCAGCTATTTTTGGCTCTGAACCTTTGCAGCCTGCATCAGCTGACTGATCTGTCTGAGTAGGTTTGAAGAACATCAAAATAATTCATGGCTGAGGGTCCTGCTTTCCCGAGTCGAGGCTCCCTGAGGAGTCCTGAGGAGATTCTCAGAGAGATCCAGATCAACCTGCTGGAGTGTAAAGTCTGCTTCGAGAAGTTCAGCACTCAGCAGAGGGAGCACAGACCGCAGAACCTCTCCTGCGGCCATGTGCTCTGTCTGGAATGCATCAGGGCTCTGTCCCACCCTCTCCTGAGGAAGCTGGAGTGCCCGTTTTGTCGACAGCTGTGCAGTGTTGACAGCAACTCCCACTGCCAGGCTCTTAGTGACCTGCAGGAGCTGCTGTTGTCCCTGAGTCCCACACCCCCTGCCCCTCCTCACAGGGCAAAGGAAGGCCTTGGCTTGGCTGAAGGTCTGACAGCCAGGGCTCTGCACCACTGCACAGCCTTTGGGGGGTGGGGGACTCTTATCAACCCCACTGGGATATCCGTTTTGGGATCTTCAGGTACTATAGTGGTGGTGCATGATGGCGAGAAGAGGGTGGTGGTGTTCAGTCCGCAGGGCAGGAAGCTGCACAGTTTTGGGCCAAAAGGACAAGGCAGTGGGGAGATCTGTTTCCCAGTGGATGTGGCTGTGACTTCCTATGGTCACGTGGTGGTGACAGATGCTGGGGATAAAGCCCTGAAGGTTTTCACCTCCAGGGGAAACCATGTGTTGACGGTGAAAGATTCCTTTCAGATGCCCTGGGGTGTAGATACAGACAGCTGTGGGCACATCCTGGTCTCAGACATCCAGGCCGGTACGCTGTCTCAGGTAAAGGTGGACTTTATAAACGGTCTCGCTGTAAAGAATCAAAGAGTCGTATCAGACCTGCAGCATCCAAAAGCGGTGGCCTGCTGTGGAGCGACTGGAAACACTGCAGTGATGGAGCATTTATCTGAGGACACATATCCACCAGGGAGGAACCCACACACCAGGCTGAGAGTGTTCACAAAAGACTTCCGCCTCCTTTATCAGACGGACACTTTCAGCTTGATGCTGCAGTCAAAAGTGAGGCTGCAAATGTCAGTCATGACCTTTGACCAAAATGGAGATGTGATTGTTATTGATTCCAATATGGGGATGATTTGGAGTTTGGGGCAGCTCCAGAGTGGCCCCGCCCTGACCCCATTAGTTGGTGATGACCTTATCCGCCCAGTTGGACTGGTGACACTGAACAACTCCCTCATCATTCTGGATGGTGGAGACCATACAGTGAAGATTTATTCTGCAAAATCTGATAATGGGCCCTTGATATAGCTAATGTATGGACAGTATTACAGGAGCTACGGTATGTGAAGTGCAGCTTATCATGGGATAAGATGACCTGGCAATACTATTGATAAATATAAGTAAAGTGAATAGAATGAAATTAGAGATATATGCTGCTCTGGGTTGCATGCTATGAAATGTACAACATTTTAGACAGTTTTTGGTTTGATTTGTTACATTCAACTATTTATTGTTATTGTGATACACTGGATACTTTCAGCTTTTGGAGCCACAGAAATAAAATGAAAAAAAAATCACTTTTGATTAAATTGCTCACATTTAATATTTAGAAGGACAGAAATCTATGATGAGGATTTGAGCAACAAATAAGTGGTTTTGTTCTAATGGGGTCTGCTAAAAAAAGGGCACATTGGGTACTGAGATCATTTATTACATGTTCCTATAATTAACACTTACACATGGTGGATGTAAAAATGTCCTCATATATGGTTACTTAAGTTATTATGTGTGTAAACTAGTGAAACATATGTAAGTAAAGTTATACAATAAATAAAACAAATTACAAAATGGTTTGTGACATAGGCTACAAACTGGGAATATTAGGCTATTTTAATTTGGTGAGAGTAATATTAATAATACTAATGTGTTTGTCAGAGAGTGTGCTTAGACATTTTAATAAAGCCTTTTTAATAAACCCTCATCTCTTCTGACCTCATAACTGTCCTAACATTATGCTTTTCTCGGGAGCATGTGAATGAACATGTCAGACAGCCTCACATTGCTCTCCCCCTGTCTCCCCCCGTTAAGCGGCGCGGTGCGTAAATCCTTTCCCTGTTTGGCACAGCCGTCTCCAGTCCGCCAGAGGAGAGCAGTCGTGCTCCCAGTGGAAGATGGCGGTGGGGATGCTGTCTGGGGCTGGAGCAGTGTGCTGGATTTGCACAAAAAGCGAACCTAGATGGATATAACGGAAAAATGAACACATTGCTATCTCATTTCCTCGAGGTCTGGACTCTTTTAGTGCTGTTTAACTAGAGTCTGCTGCCTTTTTTACCGGCACAAACCCGGGCTTCTTGTCGGGGATTCACAGACTATACATTGCTAGCTCAGCGCATAGACAGGGTGGGAGTAAAAAGTGGACAAAAATGTCGGATTCAAAGGTAAAAGTTGCAGTGAGAGTTCGGCCCATGAACCGCAGGGGTAAGTGTTATAACGATGATTTTTCTTCGCAAACTGTCTGTCTCCTCGGATTCATGCAACATTATCATAAAGTTTGGATTTCTTCGCCATTGCTGCTTTCAGCTCGAGTTATGAAGTCAGAGCTCAGTCTATTGAACACAGCTAAAGTCGCTACGATTTTACTTTTCACACCCCCGCAATCTGCTTTACTGTCCAATAACACACTTCTCTCCACAGAAATTGAACTGAATACAAAATGTGTTGTGGATATGGAAGACAACCAAACAGTTCTGCACCCTCCACCCTCAAATGGAAAAGGAGACAACAGGTAAACAAAGCTGAAACCCTGCCAACCCTTTGTATTTGCAAATGAATACAGGCCTATGGTTCATTATTTCAAGAAAATGTAGTGCACTGAGCATGTTGTAGGGCATATCTTTGCAGAGTTTCAGTGCAATAGAGTCAAATAATGTTGTGCAGCACATAATGGGGCTTTGGCTGTTTCTGAACGAAAAAGCAGAGAAACACTCTCACTGTGATAACCTTATCCCCACCCCTGATGTCATACAGTATCATTCAAGGTTAGCATCAAATGATCTATCCAGTTTTAAAGTCTGAGAAATACAAACATTATTATGGTACACAGTAATGGTGATAAAAGCTGTAAGCATTCATCTTGGATTAAGACCATTTCTTAACATAATTGCCAGTGAATGCTGTACATAAGCAGGAATGCTGCACTCCTGCTGCTTATGATATGATCTCTGGCAGCCACCTGCTTGCAACATGATATTATTTTTATTTAACTCATAGAGGAACTTTTCAATACTAATCACCTTAGCATAATAATATTATCCTCTTATATCGCAAATCTGACGTTGGGTTTTATGGCCATGGGAGGCGTAAAACATGAAGACGCCTGTTAGACTGAACAGATTAATGTCAATCCTCAGGGCATCACCAGAGACAGAACTAATTCAACTTATGTAGCTTTCAAACCACACATTGTGTCTTGTAAAAAAAGAATTCTCTACACTCTTATCAGATATTTGAATCGCAAACAATTGAAGAAAAGCTTTGCATCTTGTAGTGTTTCACACTTTGCCTGTCTGCAGTGAAGGTCAGCAAAAAGAAGCTACAGTTTCTGCCTGGCCTGCATTCTGACAGGCTTTGAGATTGTAATGAGGAGTTCACACAACGTGTAGGCTAATGCTGTATGGTTGGGAATGCCTGTTAGCAACGGTCAGAGATGTATATATTTCGGCCATTGTAGTGGTTTTGTACAGTTTTATACTTGGTTCAGTGGCCACTGCTGCTGGTTTCACACATGATTAAACAGCTGACCTGATTCCCCTCCGGCGCAAACACATCTTAAGAATAATAAATGAATTATTTTTCAAATAGTCTCAACAACTGTAATAAAAGTCCACAGCGTGACTGCTAACATGAAGTCATAGGAGGCGAAACCTGCCACAGGGAAGGCTTTTCTCATGGCCCACATCCAGCCTTGTTAAAGTGTAACGCTTTCTCTGCTGTTCCATGTAACTAAAAGTCAGCATTAAATGGTAATAAGCTTTCTGCCCCAAAAGCTCCAGACCACACATTAACCTGTATTTAAGGCAATTATCAGAACAGAAATTGCCACACAATGGCGGCATTCCAGGCAATTAAACAAATCACACTCAAAGCTAACATATGTCAGAATGGGAAACATAACAGAAGGAAAGGCTGTCCTGGGTGAGAGGTCAGAGGAACAACAATGAGTTCACAGAGTTTAGGAGTAAATACATTTGCAGTACTTTCTCAGTGAAGTGTTATTTGGATCTGATGCTGGATCTTTCCAATGCTACCTGTTGCTATGTTGTTGTGTGCGACACAAACCCATTTCGCATCCAGGCGAGGTTTCCATATCTGATTAAGATGTCGTATCACTCTTGAATTGTTTTTTACGGATTTTTTTATTATGCAAAACCTTTTTTATATAGTAGATTCTGTAGCTGCAAAGTGACTCCAGTTCGGTTTGGTTGTATTATGTCACGTTTCTTTTCTATAGTGTAGTCCAGGCATATAATTACTTGTTGACATTTCAGTGCTAGTGCAGTGTGTGTTTTTGTGTGTGTGTTTAGGGTATCTGTGTTTAGACTGCCATGGTTTTCTTAAACCATATAATTTGCCTCTTGGCTTCTTGTGAAGCTGAAAAAGGGGATACCCTGAGCTTTGCCTTGTTTTCAAAGACACCTGCTCCTGTGTTTCAAATGTAGTGGGTATTAACATGCCAAATATGGCTGTAGGGCCGAGATCATGGGAACTTTCTCACTCCCATGGGAATTCTCAGGCACAGCCTCAAAGAGGAGACAGCCGTAATGGATATTTTTATATTTCAGTGTAGGTTTTGGGGTTTAACAATGGGAAGAAAAATGACATAACATTGTTTGGATTTCAGTGTACCTATATTTCCCAATAGATTTGCTCAATACCAACAAAACTAACAATGCATTCAGTCTAATGAGATATGAAGTCTCTAGTGGGGTGAATTCGGAGCCACTTTTATGTTGGGGGGCATTGAAAACTTTCTGTCTGAACTTATTCAGGAGACCACATAGCTCCATGAAAACATTTAAGTCACCTAAAGAATTTGAAGAAATATCAGGGATTTACTTTGATGGCTAAGCCTCAATCTTTGCACCGCTGAGCATTAAAGCAACACTCGTGACCCGAGCCCCCCTCTCCTATTTCCCTGAGAAATGAACATTAATCTCAGTAGTGTGCGAATGATTGTGACTCCAGGGCGACAGGTTAAGTTTCCCAAGTTTAATCTTTCATCTGCCTGTTGAGTTGGCACGAACGGGAGTTTTGAAATGGGAATATGGTAAAGTCTGTCTGCTCTCCTTAGAGGTTCGGACACAATGAAGGAGGAGGGGAAGAGGCAGAGAAATACCTGAGGCTGCTGTCTGCTAAGGGATAGAGTGCTGGAGCATCATGACAGGAAAATACCCTCACACAATGGGACCGTATTACATTTATCGTATCCCAGCATGTCTGTCAACTTTCAACAATTGAATGCAGGCCCATCCTGCCTTTAGAGTCCTCTGAATGCTAACCCTGCTTTTCTGCATTTTGTATTAAAAACCAATAGCTAACAACAAAGTTACCTTTTTTAAAGAGGCAGACCAGAGTGTAGTTTATTTCAGGTGAATGACTTTCCTATCCTTCCACTGTAGTGTACAAAATAACTAGAAATGCCTCTTCTAGATGATGTATGTCTTTATCTGAAAATGGCCGTAACCAAGCTTGTAATTTCTGCTCTAATCTCTTCCTTATCACTTATGGTTAACATAGCTAATTTAGTTTGATCTTCTCTTCACTGAGTTGTCTTGCTTACTAGCATATTGTAAACTGAGAAAGGCTTACCCTGAGAGAATGCTACTTCTACTGCATAAACAGTAATACAGTTGTTTAAAAGCAGCCTTTAAAAAATAAAATAGACATTTTTGTGACTATACTGATTAGCTTTTTGAAGAACAATTAGATAATAAGATCAATACCAATCATATCAGTACAGTAATATGAAGCCTTAGCCAGCAGCTGGTTGGTTAGATTAAACAGGGGAAATGTGCACAATATTTTTCTTACTGGCAGAAACAGGCTTTTCAGGAGACAGACTTAAATAGACAGACGCTTAAACAAAGAGTTTCAAACAGAGGGTGAGTACAGATTCAATCAGACAGTATACATGTTTTATTTGAACATCAAAGCATACAGACATGTTCTCGAAGAAATCTCCCAAAATTATCTTAATATGTCCCCTTTAAGAAAAGTGTTATACATGTCAGTCTCCTGTGTTGTTGAACTTTAGGAAGTTATTACATTTTGTCTCTGGTCACATATGACCAAGTTGGATCATACTTTCCAAAACAAGCCTTTTACTGAATGACAATGCTGCCTTGTCTAATGACTGCACTCAGGAATGTTCCTTTTGTCTTTGTTCCCTATGTTCCAATAATCAACCTTTCCATTCAGTAAGATGTTGTTCTCAGAGTAATGCGGCTTAAAATCACCGCAACCTTCCTCTGTAAGGCTTTGTTCATGCGTGCTATTAGGAGAAAGTGTTGTGTGTGGCTGATAAAGTGATTGTTTTCCCTCAGGGACCGTTCCTTGTTTGTTTAGAGGGTGGGACATTGTTTACATCTTGATGCGGAATTGAGAAAAGATGGCGCCCTCCCTCTTTGTCAAGCCTGTGTCTCATTAATCTCAGATGTGGCTGCTCACTCTGAGAGCAGAATATGTGAAAAGCCATACTTGGACATTTCTTCCATACCCATTCTGGTTTTCCTCCTTGCTTGATTCTCTCAGATGAGGCCTTTTTTTTTTTTTTAAAGTTTTGATGCGGCGGCTTGTTTTCATGTTTTTTCATGCGTGCTGGAATATGCCTATTGTTGACTCACTTTCAGTCTGTGAAGTGGAGCTGGGCAACATTAACATAAACATAATTTTAACTCGTCTCTGTCTGGAAAAAATACTGTCGTCATTAGATTGAATTATATTCATGCTAATAATTACTGTAAACATGTCTTTGTCACATTTCTCTTTGAAACTAATGACTTTTCTGATCTGTTTTGAACATCATGAGCATGATTAGTTTGGCCATTGTTGTCTATTGTCCGTCATAAGGCAAATGCATTCAGATAAGTGACATCTACAAGCAGAAAGGGTTAAAGGAGGTGTGTCCTGGTAGTAAATGTGTCACGTAATGTTCCCTTTAGGAGGAAACCTTACCAAATTGAACAAATTGATGAGCTTGACTTTTCTCTGGTTAGTTTTTTGAAACTAAATTTAAGGCTTTAGGGCGATGTGGTCAGTATCGCTCTCTGTGTTTTAGCATACACACAGCATGTTGCTGACCCAGCTTGTCACAGTGCTGTCATAAATGCCAGAGAGGATTAAATTAGACCCTGCCTGCATCATATGTTGTGTTTGGTAACGTTTGTTATGGAAACTTTGAAGGTCCCACGCAGAAGTCGGTAGGAGCATCATGTGCAATGCGGAGGACAGCGCTGTTCATTAAAGCTGTTTTTAAGTTCCTGCGCTTGGCTTCCATATTGGAACTCTGACTCATGAAGCTGCCTCCATGTTTATCACTGTTGCCTAGCGACAGCAGTTGCCAAGTTACAGAAACATTCTCGAGTTATGTTGATGTCGTAATGAGTGATATCCCACAGCCACCCCAAATATTTTCATAGGAAGCTAATTTTAGCATTTTGAACAATGACCCATCAACACATTTGTTTCAGAAAAGCTTAACTAGCCAAGACCAATGATGGAATATAA